ATATATATCAGCCAACCTCTGTTTTTTTCTGGATTTGTCCGGTGTACAATCTGTAATATCAGATACTTTCTCCTTATTTTTTCATTAAATTTTATTGGGATTGTTTTATGTGTAGTCTTTCTAACATAAGAAAATTTTTGGGATAGAGGAAAGTGGGATTTGTGGGTGATTGATGACTTTACGTGGGATTTGTGGGTGATTGATGACTTTATGTGGGTTTTTCGCTTGAAGGTATTGTAGGATTTCATTCCTCTGATATTATAATATATATTTCTGAATATTATTAGAAGAGAAACGATTTAATAAACAAGAAAAAATAAACTATTAGTTTCATTCCCTACATTTTATAATATATGTTCTTTCTCATTATGAGTGTTTGTCTCCATTGAAATTCCATTAACTAATCTATTTTTGTTTTACCGATAATACAAAATGATTACATGTGCTAATTTAAAGGATTCTGTATTAAATCATCTTCTGAACTATGATTCTTAATGATAGTCCATTCATGACATTTAAAGTTAGACAAGAGGTTCTTCACTTTTTGAGAAGGGAAAAATAAACTTAGTCTAACCTTACATGATAATCGAATTGAATTTTTTTGCGGACTTGTCTTCTATAAGATCGTTTTATGGTATTTAATTATTTTTTAGCATATCCAACGTATTCTCATTATTATAAAAAAAATTGATGTCCTATATCCTAGTGCGTGTACGTGTGTAGAATCATTTAGTTCAAACCGTATTTATATAGCTTGTGTTTCTATTATTGATTTCTACTCGTGTAGAATCATTGAGTTCAACACTTACTTATATAATTGGTTTGCTTTGATTATTAATTTTCTTTAATTGATTGCATTTCTTTTTGTAGAAAAGATATGGATAAAAGTTAGTTGAATATTAGGGATAGATGTGACAGAAGGTATATAAAAGGAATACATGACTTTCTTGGTTGGGCATATAGTCAACCAAATGTGAGCTCTGTAATTCGGTGTTCTTGTAAAGGGTGTAAAAATACTGCGTACAAGACAAGAATCCAAGTAAGAAGAGACTTGGTTGGGAAAGATTTTTGGGACAGTTATAAAGTGTGGAACATGCAGCAGGTAGACTTAGAGGCGAGTATGTCTTCTCAAATGGAAAGAATGCGTCAAGAGGAAATGGATATAAAATTACAAGAAGAACGTGAGCAAATGGCTGCCGAGTTAAAAAGCAAGCTAGAAGAAGAAATGGATGTTGAGTTGCAAAGTAAGCTAGAAGAATAAATGGCTGCTGAGCGTGCACGGACGGATTTACAAGTTGATAAAAAGATCGAAGAAAAGATGGATGCATGGCTGATCATAATGCAACAGGTAGGGATTTCTCTTGAAATCAGTTTAGTGTATATTCATAAATCATAAGCTTATATAGGGATTTCTCTTAAAATCAGTTTTACTCTATATTTATTAAAACTGAATGAGTTTTCCTTGAAAACATAAGCATATATAAGAATTTCTACTGAGGTTATTTAACAAGTAGCTTTTCTTATTAAATTTTAAATATCAAGAGTTAGTAAGAACCAGTTGACTACTCCGATTAAAAGCACTAGTTAGAATGTTCAGACTCTGCTCTTTTAAATTTGTGAGTATATGACATGGTTCTCCTTTTCTATTAATTTAACTTGATCATTTCTCAATTTCCAATGTTCAACTAATGCCCTATAAAGTACAAGATATTTTTCACGCCTTATTTATCCATACATTGCTACTTCTATTGTTAAACACAGTTGTAGATAATTGTTACATTATCTAATAGATTAAATTTCACTAATAATATAGAAATTCTTTTATATCGTTAAACCTATTGAGAATATAATAGGTAGAAATCTATTAAAAAGAAAGACCTTTCATATTCAAGCCATTAAAGAAACTCTAATACTTACTCCAATTGACCTTATCATTCTGTAATATTGTGTTTTCCACATCAGTGGAGATTGGACATGACAATTGGTCTTGTCATTTTCTTACATTTATTGAGACATGGATAATAATACTATTATAAAGCTACTCTGGAGAAAGAAACATACCTTTACCTAAAAAGTGACAGAGTATATACTAATTTTTCATTTTACATGTATCCATTTTATTTTGAAACTAAACTTAGCATAATGTCTAAATTCAAAAGCAAATACCTGAGGACTCCGTTGTCCCCACCCTCTCCTTTCACATTCAAGAAAACAATTCCCCTTTGCTTTGCTGAGTGCTTAATCTGCTGACAAAACCAATCTAGACGCTATGGGGACCAGCTAATTATTAAGAAATTCTCAAATTTATCTCTGGTCATTTTGGTCTCTAGTACATGTCCCTCTCTGCTCAATGCAAAAGTAATTTTTTGGTGAATGAATAAATCATTGTTAGGTGGCTGACTGCATAGAGTTCAATTCTGTTATTTTATTGACTGGTGATTGATTGTGCATTATAGATGGTTTCAGTAGGTTCTTAGTCAAACATTACGTTGTCGTGTTGCTTTCAATAATTTGGACATAGATTATGTAATACGACTTTGTGCATTCAATTCAATTCGTGCACTATATTCAGATTTATAATTATTTGTTTTGGTTTTGATAACTGAATTTCACAAAGTATCAATTGCATCTCACACTGATTGACAAATTTTATAATAATTTAAACTAAGCATCCTTACCAAATTTTACAAGGTTGATGTTCCCATGCTTTATAAAGTTATTGCTTGTGAAACTTTAAAAGATTATTGCTTGTGGGGTTTTAATATTTTTTCAGAAATACCTTTCTTTGCTTTACTTCTTCTCGCTCTTTTCGGCTAATCTTTCTTCAAACTTACTATCTTTTTTGTACGTATGCATATATTAATGATGTTCATTTTTACTTTTTAATAGCAAGGACAAGATACTTCAAGAACAGGAAGTGAAGTTGCTCAAGGAGTAGTTTGAAGATATTTTTATATTCTTTTTGTCTATCGTAGAAGACATTGGAGTATGTCTTGAAGACTATTCCTTTTTTGTTTGTGTTGTGAAATGGCAATTTATATACATTGACTACTTTTGACTGTGTAGAATTTTTAACATTAAAAAGACTACAATTCTATTTTGAGAATTGTTATTGAGTTGTACAAATATCTATAGTTTTATATATTTTTCTAAAACAAAAAATCCTTTTATGGAAGACATGTGTTGTGACAAAAAATAAGAGCTTATGCGATTATAACCTACTGCCACTAAAAGAAAATATAATTAGTAGCGACATTTTGATGCCACAAAATGGAGATTTGGTGGCAATACCAAGTTATCACTAAAATGTAATATTTAGCAGCGACAAAAGTAGCCATCAAAGTCAGGCTTTTGTTGCACCCATGGTCGCCGTCAATGATCTGTGGCGGTATGAGTCGCCACCAAAGGCTAGCATTTAGTGGCGACAGATTCTCTAGAGTGAATTCTAGTGGCAATCCAAAATAAGTTTTGTGACGATCATTATAAGTCGCAACCAATAAGTATATGCCACTTAGTATAGTCAACGCTCACTTGGTCGCCACTCGTCATCACGAAAGCTATTCTGCGGTTACAATTAAACTTTCTGTGGCAAATTTTGTCGCCACTAAAAGCCCTTTTTCTTATAGTGATATATAATATGTCACAGATACAAAATTGACAGGTGATCGATCTTTTACGTTGTTTTTTCTTCTTTTTACTATACTACTATTAAGAAATGCCAATAAGACCCTAGATGATTCTGAAATCACCTATCTGAGGACGACCTTATCTGAACAAACGTGGAAGGATTATGAAGAATTTTACGTGTTTTTTAAAAAAATTATCTATCTAAGCGAACATAATTAACTCATTACTTGTATTAAAATAATTGAAGCGCGCACAATTCGATAATAACACAATTATTATATGGACGACTAAAATATTGAACTAATTAATAATTAATAAATTAACCTCTCAATTATCTATTATTATCACTTATGGGAGGAGAAAAAGATATTTATTGGGTATATATACAAATGCACTTCTTCTAACTCTTAAAGTGAATGTGATTTGCTACCGATTTTTGAGCTCGTTGGTCACTAGGGTTTGAAGACACCAGTAAAAGTAATTCGTTCTATCCTGGAAGGAAATAATCCTAAACCTCGGGTAATAGGAGGGAATTAAGTTCCTTAGGGAAACATTGTAAATTCCGTGAGCTCGAATTAATCTTTTTTCTACATTTCTGGTTTTCGTCGTTTAAATTTTCAGAATTTATTTTTCGAATATAGATTATTAACGAGGATGAGTGCTTAAAAGAATATTGAGAGACCAAGTGAACTTTCAAAAAATGAATTTGATGCACTCGACAGAGGTAGCAAGAGAAAAAGATAGAATTACAGAAGACAGGGGGTCAATATAGTTACTATTACATATATTACATCCAATAGTTTGTATTTATAATAAGAAACCAACTAAACATATATAAATACTTAACTGCGAATCCAGTAACTAATAAACTATAGGTTCGATTACAAGTTCAAAATCTATAAATTTTAAATTCTGATTCCACTTTGAATAGGGGTATGAGAATAGTAAGTCTTTTCTTAATTTTGGCTTAGCTCACTTAATAAAAGTCAAACTGTCTAGTAATGTTGTGACATCACGTGAAAGGGAAATTCCCAACCCCTCCACCATCTTGGCCCCAATTATTGTCACCACGACAAAAGAAAATGTCATTAGTTATCAAACAATCTTGGGAACTCGCATTTAAGTAGGAATAAGAAGAGAAATCATTATAAGAGGAGGTCTCGTGTTTGAATTTTGAATATGAAAAAAATTATATCATGAAGCATTTCTCAAACATGAATCAATGCGGGTAATTGACACCACTTGGGAAAAATAAGAAAACATTACTACTGTTATGTCACCAAAAGATAATTGCATGCAGGTACAATAAATAGAACTAATTACCTATATATTAGTAGTAATAATAATAAAACAGACAACTTCAGCACGTAAGTTAATTCCCAAAGAAAGTACCTTGAAACTTCAGTTTTAATATCTGGACCAAATATTTGATATCACGACTTGGTGAAATGAAGAAATCTTCTATGACAGCGTTTGTATTTTTTTTCTGTGGGGGGTGAATTATTTGAAGTCAACGAAATATAGTTTCTTTCATTTTCCACTTCACAGTGATCATCATCTTCTTCTTCTTCATTGATCTTTAGCTCTAATGTCGTCTTCTTCTACAGAGAATCGTATCCTTTGGACAGAGATCCAAGAATCAATAAGGAACATATTGAAAGCTAACTGTGGCCATTTTCATGCTCTTTCAATCCTCTTCCTCTTGCCTATCTTTTTCTCTCTCGTCGTTTATCCTTCTTTCCACCTCGCTCTCTTTCATCCTGATTATCATTTCACCACTTTCACTCAATTTCCTCAGTCCCATCTTTTCCTTTCAAAATTCGAAATTATTGTACCCATAGTATATACTCTGTTTCTGGTCCTCCTTTTCCTCTGTGCTGTAGCCACAATTACATACAGCGCGCTTCATGTATCCTATGGTAGACCTATCAACCTCGTTTCCTCGATTAAATCTATCAGAAATTCCTTCTTCCCCCTTCTCTCCACCTTTATCGTTTCGCATACCATTTTCATTTCAATCGCTCTCGTTTTCTCCCTAATCTTTGTTTTTTTAGTCCAGGTTCTTCAAACTCTTGGATTAATTGAATTTAAATACGACTCGAATCACTTTTTGTTTATGGTTATTCCTGTGTTGATTATGCTCGTGCCAGTTTTGATATGGTTGCAGGTTAATTGGTCATTAGCTTACGTGATAGCAATAGTTGAATCCAAATGGGGTTTCGAAACACTAAGGAGAAATTCCTATTTGGTAAAGGGGAAGAGATCGGTAGCTTTGTCGATGATGCTCTTATACGGGCTTTTGATGGGAATAATGGTGGTTTTAGGTGCCATGTATTTAGTCATTATGGATGCAGGGAAGGGTCATCAATGGAGAAGTTCAGGGGTAATATTACAGACTGCTCTGAATTCAGTAACTGGCTATCTGATGATGAGTCAATTTCTTGTGGGGAATGTTGTTTTGTATCTGCGTTGCAACGACTTGAATGGTGAAAAATTGCCCTTGGAAATCGAGCATCTTCTTCTTCATCAATCTTTAGCTAATGATCATCCACCTCCAATGTCGTCTACTTCTACGAAAAATCTTAGCCTATGGACAGAGGTCGTAGAATCAGCAATGAGCATATTCAAAGCTAATTCTGCCCATTTCCATGCCCTTTCAATCCTCTTCCTCTTGCCTATCTCTTTCTTTCTTGTCGTGTATCCTTCTTTTCACCTTGCTAACTTTCATCCGGACTATGATTTCATCAGTTTCGTTCAACCCCATCTTTTCCTTTCAAATTTCGAAATTATTGTACCAACATCGTACTCTCTGTTTTTGGTCCTCCTTTTCCTATGCGCCGTAGCCACAACTACATATAGCACAGTTAATGCATCCTATGGTAGACCTATAAACCTCGTCTCTTCGATTAAATCTATCAGAAAGTCCTTCTTTCCCCTTCTCTCCACCTTAGTCGTTTCGCATACCATTTTCATTTCAATCACTCTTGTTTTCACCCTAGTTTTGACTATTTTAGTTCAAATTCTTCAAGCTCTAGGACTAATTGAAATTAAATACGATTCGGATCACTTAATGTTTTTGGCTATTCCTGCTTTGGTAGTGCTCGTGCCAGTTCTGCTATGGCTACATGTTAACTGGTCATTAGCTTATGTGATAGCAGTAATTGAATCGAAATGGGGTTATGAAACATTGAGGAGAAGTTCCTATTTGGTGAAGGGGCAAAGATGGGTAGCTTTTGGGATATATTTATATTACGGGCTTTCAATGGGAATAATGATGGTTTGTGGTTCATTGTTTTTTGTCATTATGGGTGTAGCAAAGGGTAATAAGTGGAGGAGGTTGGACGTGATACTGCAGACTGCTCTGGTTTCAGTGATGGGATATCTGATGATGAATCAATATCTTGTGGCGAACTTGGTTTTGTATATGAAATGCAAGGACTTGAAAGGTGAAAAATTGCAGTCGGAAACTGAAGGCGAGTTTGCTGGCGAGTACCTTTCCCTGCCCTTGGATGAGAAGAATCAAGCTATTGAATAATTTGTAAACAGTTGATTAATGCTTGTATGAATATAATATTTGGTTGTCTTTGTAGAAAGTTAAACGTGTCTGCTACATGGTTCTGCTCGTCTTTCCTGTTGTTGAATATTGAATAAAAACGTTCAGTAGTTGTATTGTTATATACTACAGTAACAAATAATTATGGAGTATATGTTATATATGTATTATGGTGTTGAATATGAGTACTGAGCTCATACATTCTTAATGTTTTGGAGAAGGAACAACGAATGAAAGGAAAGAGCTATAGTCCTGGACATTCTCTCTCCGAAGCTAACCTCTCGTTCTTTTGAGAAGTTTGAATGTCGAAAAGTGAAAAAATTTATTATTCAGGTATCATATTGAGAGAGGTATGATCGAGATTTTTTTTATATCATACCACCGGCTAAAAATATCAACACCATATATGGAGATAAACTTCATACTTTTAGTTGAACTCAAACCTAAAATTTCTTAACTGTCACGACACCTTAGCCCAATTTTTTAAACAATGTGTTATTGGCATCTTAAATATTTTTTAATTTAGTTAATTATGTGCCCCGGACGGCCAAACTAGTGCAGTTCAAATTTGCATAGGTCAAGATGCGCAATAAGTCAAAAGGGGAAATATATCTCGAACTAATGTTTCCTTGATTTTTCATTTCATAATGTCTACTTCAACAGAAAATCGTAGCCTATGGAGAGATATCCTTAAATCAACGAGGCTGATATGCAAACGGGCGGGTCAGATCGGATATGGGACGGGTCAAAACGGATAATGAAAAAATGAATAATTTATCCGTCTTCTCCCTTCTCTCAACTTTTATCGTTTCGCATACCAAATTCATTTCAATCACTCTCCTTTTCGCGCTAGTTTTGGTGTTTACAGTCCAAATTCTTCATGCTCTTGGATTAACTGAACTCAAATACTACTCTAATATGGATGTAGGTCAACATCATTAGCTTATTATGTGATATCAGCAATTGAATCCAAATGGGGTTACGAAACAGTAAGGAGAAGTGCCTATTTCTTTTACTAGTATAATAGTAAATTCATAAAATTATCTTTTATTATATTAAAATAGTTGAACTTTACTCGTTATAACATTAAAGTCATAAAACTTTACCCACTATTCAATAATACCACAAAACTATTCTTATGTCTCATTCAAATAACTGAACTTTATCTAAATAAATATAAAATCGCCAAGCTTTATCTAGAGTAACTTAACTTTACCTACTATAACGATAAAAGTTAGGCAAACAATGTGACTTTACTTACTTTGTATATGTATTGCAAGGATTTGAATGGGTTAATTTCACCGAAAATCATCCAACTTATCATTTATTTTATAAAAGTCACTTAAGTATTTTTCATCACTTAAAAGTCACTCAACTTTACCTTTGTAACTTAAAAGTTATTCTAGTTCAAAACCTACAAAATATCCAATAAAAAATATGACATGACATTAAATTTAATTAAAAAATTTAATTATATTGCAACATAAGCTTAGATGGATCATATCCAATTTAGACTCATTTCATCCACAATTAGATTTGACCCATAACCCAAATGAGTTTTAATATTTTGACAATTAGAAGGAAAAGAAGAGAACAATTATTTTGTGCTAAAAATATCTTACTTAATTTGTTACGTAATAAACTTAATACCACCACCTATAATTTCACTAAAAATATGAACTGAACTAGCACATAACCAGTTTTTGCATCCTTCATATCATTTTATAATTTTTCATGAAGTTAAATACTATCATATCAATCCCACATAACAATTATATGTACCACTAACAGACAAGAACAACAAGCTAATAAGAACCTATTTTCACAAATTACTATTCCATTAAAGTCAAAATATTGCTTATTAAGCAATACTAACAGACAAAAATATTGCTCAGTAAGAAACACCCACAATGAAATTGCATAGTAAAAATTGTCAATACACACCACAATCGTAGACAGCCTATAGCGATAATTTGGACAAAAGAAAGAGACAACGTATTGTATCATTGACCGTAAATGTACTACCAAAATCTAAAGATAAATTCAAAAGACCTAATTTTTCTTAAATTTCTTAGACTTCTTTTTCTATAAATTAACCACAAAATCAAAGTGTTAGTCCAGTTAATTATTCAAATATTAATAATCTATTTTGGTTATAGGTTAAATCGGTATGAAGAAGAAATGGGTCTAACTTAGATATGGTCTATTTAATCTTATGTAGTTATTGTTAGATTTTTTAATTAAATGTAATGTCATGTCATATTTTTTATTAGATATTTTGTAGGTTTTGAACTAGAATAACTTTTAAGTTACAAAGATAAAGTTGAGTGACTTTTGTGAAATAAATAATAAGTTGGATGACCATCAGTGCAATTAATCCGGATTTAAATGATGAAAAATTGCCCTCGGAGATAGAGATGTTGGCCGGCAAGTATATATCTCTGCCCTTAGATGATGAGAAGAATCAAGTTGTTGTGGAACTTGTTTAATCTCTGTATAAAATTTGGTCGGTTTTCATAAAAAGATTAATTTTATGCTACTTAGTATTTATTGCGTAGACTAGTACAAATAAGCAAAGAGGAAATGCAGGAATGTTTAATTAGTGAATCCTCCTAAATTATTAGGATTAGGAAGTACAGGAATGTTTAACTACTTCACTCTTATAGCTTTGGATACTTCATGTTTTTGCTTCGTGCTTATATTTTTCCATTATGATGACATGTTTAATTAAGTCTTTAAATGCTGGAGATCATTTGAAACATCTCCAGGAAATTTTCGACATCTTGCGGGAGCATAACATGAAGGTCAACCCAAAGAAATGTGCATTCGAGGTTGGTTCCGATAAATTCTTGGGGTTCCTGGTCTCTCAAACAGGGATCAAGATGAATCCCAATAAAATCAAAGTTATCGAGGACATCCCGGACCAATTGACAAGTGTGAAGAAGTACAGAGACTGACCGGCATGTTGGCGGCTCTCAGCAGATTCATTTCAAGGTCCTCAAAAAAGTTCCATCACTTCTTTTCGATTCTAAAAAAGAAGAACGACTTCGTATGGACTCCGGAATGCCAACATGCACTGAAAGACCTGAAAAGGTACCTATCCATTCCTTCGTTACTGTCAAAACTGGGGGAAGGCGAGCTGTTGTTGATCTATCTAGCAGTCTCGAAAGTAGCGGTAAGTACCGGTTTGGTCCGATATGAAGAATGTACGTAATTTCCTGTTTATTATGTTAGGAGTAGAGACTCGTTATCCGCACCTAGAAAAGCTGGCCTCAGCTTTAGTAGTTGCGTCTCAAAAGCTTAGGCCTTACTTTCAATGTCACTAATAGCCGTTGTGACAACCTTTCCATGAAGGAATGTCCTTCACAAGTCTGAGTTGTTAGGACATTTGGCTAAATGGGCAGTCGAAGTTATCAAACTCGGCATTGAGTACAAACATAGGATTGCAATCAAGTCACAAATTTTGCCCAACTTCGTGGCCGACTTCAGTCCGGGGTTAATGCCTCTGGCTGCTAAGGAAGTAGTGTTGGTGTTGGGAATGACATCGGGAGTTTCGACCTTATTTACGGATGGAGCCTCCAACGTAAAAGGGTCTAGTCTCGAGGTAATTTTAATCACGCACTCGGGGAAAACCCTAAGGCATGCCATTAGAAATGTACCATTAACTAATAGTGAAGCCGAGTACGAGGCTTTGGTTGCAAGACTTGAACTAGCTCGGGGACTAGGTTCTGAGGTCATTGAGAAAAAGTGCAACTCCCAACTGGTGGTAAACTAAGTGTATGGGATTTCTGACACAAAAGAGAAACGCATGCAACAGTATTTGAACAATGTTCAAACGTTACTGGCATGATTCAGAGAGTGGTCGATCATCCAAATTTCGAGGGAGAAAAATATGGAAGCAAACGCGTTGGCTAATTTGGGGTCATCCACGGAGATGAAAGGATCTGACTCTGGTACGGTCGTCCAATTGCTATATTTGGTGTTAGGTGTGGATGGCTACTGCGAGGTAAACTCAACCAACTTGATCTGGGACTGGAGGAACGAGTTCATTGAATATCTCAAACATGATAAATTACTTGAAGACCCAAAAGCGTCCCGGGCATTACGGACCAAAGCACCTCGCTATTGCCTTATTGATGGACAGTTGTACAGGAGGTCATTCCAAGGACCACTGACCCAGTGTCTAGGGGCATCGAGGCAGATTACGTGATGAGGGAAATCCATGAAGAAGTCTGTGGAAATTATTTCGGTGCGGACTCGTTGGTTCTCAATTTGGTCAGGGTTGAATGTTATTGGCCCCGAATGGAGTAGGACGTAAAGTCGTTCATACAAAAATGCGACAAATATTAACATCATGTACAGTTAGTGCATTAACCACCAGAACTTTTGCATTCAGTGGTGTCTCCATGGCCATTCATGAAATGAGGGATGGACATAGTTGGTCTTTTATCATCGAGCCTCAGGAAGGTAAGATTATTTTTAGTTTTAACTGATTATTTCTCTAAATGAGTTGAATCAGGTTCTTACCAAAAGATCAAAGAATGTGAAGTGGTTGACTTCATAAGGAACCATGTAATCTATTGTAACGACCCAGCCATTCGTTTTGAGCATTTGTGTTTGGTTCAGCTAGTTGAAGTCTTGAGTAGTTTCGTTTGATATATTATGACTCGTGTGAATCATTGGTCTTGGTTTTCAGGTGATTCTGAAGTGATTTGGAAGAATGAATTTCATGTTTGAAGCTTTAAGTTTGAAGAGTTGACCAAGTTTAACTTTTGTGTATTTGACCCCGGATCGGAGCTTTGATGGTTCCTTTAGGTCCTAGTGGTGATTTTGGATTGGGGCGTGTGCCCGAATTTGTACTTGGATATTTCTAAAAGATTTCGGCACTAATTGGCAAAAGTTAAAAATTTGAAGGTTTGTAATGTTCATAAGTTTGACTGGGAGTTGACTTTGAATATATCGCATTCGGATTGTGGTTCCGGGAATTGGAATAACTTCGTTATGTCATTTGGGACTTGTGTGCAAAATTTGAGTTCATTCCGACTCGATTTGATATGTTTCGGCGCGAGTTTTGGAAGTTAAAAGTTCAAAGTTCATTTAAGTTTGAATTGAGGTACGATTCGCCGTCTTGATGTTGCTATGTGTGATTTGAGTCCTCTAGTAGGTCTGTGTTATATTATGAGATTCGTAGGTATATTCGGATGGGGTCCAGAGTGGCTCGGGTAAGTTTTAGATGAGGTTCTAATCATTTTGTCGGATGTTGCATTGCTGAAGGAGTGCTGGTGATTCCACATCTGCGGAAGAATGGACTCATATGTGAGTCCATAGATGCAGACAAGTGGTCGCAGAAGTGGGAAACGGCTAGGCTGGGGGACCATCATAGATGCGAAGATAGAAGCGCACTTGCGTGCGCGCAGAAGCGAAATCTTTGGGCGCATGAGCGGTCTTATGCACAGATGCGCAATTCGTTGTCGCACATGTGATTGCGCAAGAGCGGATGTTTTTCCGCATGTGCGAAGGTCCATTTTTCTAGATTATTCCATAGAAGCGGGCTTCCCATCGCAGAAGTAGCTCAATTATTCACAGAAGCGAAAAGGGTTGGGCAGATTCTATTTTATTCGAGGTCTTGATTCTTTTATGATATTTTGCGATTTGGAGCTCGGTGTTGGGCAACTTTGGATAGGGATTTCACCACATGGATCGGGGTAGGAATTATTAACAAGGTTGTGATTATATTTTGCTAATCTATCTTCATTTTTGGTAATGGGATTATGTATTTTTAAGAGAAATTGGGGGATTTTGTCTAAAATTTCATAACGTGAATTTTTGAGTTTTGAACATCGATTTGGAGTTGGATTTGAATGAAACTAGAATGCTTGGACTCGTGATTGAATGGGTTCTCAAATTTTGAGAGTTTTGTTGAGTTCCAAGGTGCGGGCCCGAGTTTGACTTTTTGGTTGACTGTGGGCTTTTGTTTCTAGAGTATTGTTTGGCATTTATAGAGTATTGTTTGGCTTGCTCAGTATTGGATTCGTCTTGTTTGAGTTAAGTAACACTTCTAAACTTGGTGCTGAGGGTATGAATCCTGGAATCTATGTGTTATGTATTTGGTGTTGAGGTGACGCGCGTGTGGGCGTGCACCATATGAATTATGACTCGGTTGAGTCTGTGATACAGTGTAGTTACCTAATCTTATTTTTATCCATGAAATCTCTACGTGCTAGAGTAATTGAGTTGTAATCCATGTTAAAAACCATGTTTAGACTATATGTTTATTCTGTTGGGACCCACTGAGGTCAAATCTGCTGTTGAGTTTTTGCTTAGATTGCAGTTACATACTCAGTCATAGTCATTCATTTGCATATCATATCTTAGTCTTTGTTACCATTTGTTGTCACACCATGTTGTCATTGTTTGGGCTTATTGGCATGCGATTTGTGAGCCCGAGATACTGGAGAGATTGATGACTGAGTTGGGGCCTGAGGGCCGGATTGTGAGTGATATTGATGGGATCAGGTTGCACACTGCAGCAAGTGCTATTAATTCATGATGGGATCGGGTTGTATGCCGCAACAAGTATTGTTGATTCATGATGGGATCGGGCTGCACGCCGCAACATGCACTATTGATTCATGATGGGATCGGGCTACACGCCACAACAAGAAATATTAGCGCTTAGGCAGGATATGCCCCTCCGGAGTCTGCGCACCCATAATGAGCGCACTTAGTGTTGATTCATGATGGGATCGGGTTGCGCGTCACAGCAGGTATCGTACAATGTTAAGTGACTGAGTGTGCTGAGTGATTGAGCGCGATGAGTGGGAGTGGGATATTGAGTACTCTGAGAGTGTGAATACATGAGTTCATCACTGGGATGCATTGCATATGACATGCATACTTGACATACATGCATATAGATGCATTTCCTCATGTTATACAGATTTGTGACATTTATGACTTCACATGCACATTGACATATGGGCATAGAGATGTACTTTCCTCATGCTATCTGGTAATAAAATATCTTATTTATTTTTGAAAGGTTTTGGGACAAATCATAGTTTTTCTGACTTACTCATATTTTGGTGATTTCGATGAATGATTTGGGTTTTACTGTTATACTTGAAAAGTATGACTATTTTTCGTAACTGTGAACTAGCTGAGCATCATATCTCTGAGTTAATTCTTGAACCACTTTTATTATATTATTATGAGTTGTCGTTGGCTATTGGTGTTGGAGTCTAACCTTTGTCCCATCTCGTCACTACTTTCAACCTAAGGCTAGGTTTGTTTCTTATTGAGTGCATGGGGTCGGTTGTACTTTTTTTTTTGAATCCACTAGGCATTGTGCCTAGGGCTGATTTTCACACATATAAAAAAGAGTACAACAAAGGAGTGGGACATAAACCTTACCTCTAGAAATAAAAAAAGATGGAATATCTGGTCATCAACATCTAGCGACTAGATGAATCCTAGAAACTATGTGCAGTAAGACCTAAGATGATGTTCCAATTGTCTATCCAACATTGATAGCCAATTGGGTATACAAAAACAAGGCGGAGTAGGCCTAGGTCACCTATACAAACATGCACAACTAATCCTAATTCTACTAAGTAGATGAGTGGAAAGATTTCCTTCCAAAAATGTCTACGGCTAGAGCAATTACAAAAGCTGTAGAAATTCCCTTCCAATAGAATGAACATTAGAGATGCTAATACCACACACTGGAATTGTATCAATTGACTAAGCTACCTCAATGAACCGGCAAAACTAAACAAACATGTTAGCCAAATTGGAGCTTTAAAGCTCCTATTTTTGAACATCATATTCTACTTCCAGGTTCTTGTGAGAGCTGGCAACAGAAGCTGAAAGTAAGGTAGGGTTGAGCAGTATTGGGACATGAAACTTTTCCCATGTGACTTGTTGTAAGAATTGAGTGCAAGGGCTATTGGTACCAGGTATTGGGCTTTTTTGACCTATTTGCTTGCTTTCTTTTTCTTGTGGGGTTTCTAGATGATTGCCTTCAGGTTCTTGTGTGGACTGAGGCAAGTTGGAGGAGTAAATGAATGTGTGTGTGAGTGGTTCATTGAGGTTTGGGTGGGATATATGTGTTGCATTTGGTTAAGAAGGAAGGGTTGTAGGTTAGAGGTCAGTGGTGACTTCTGAAAGTCTTCTTCTGGAGCAATTGTAGTAGTGAGAGAGGGGTGATTGATGATTGGTTTGTTGCTGACATGGTGCAATTGGTGTTGTTGCAGTAGGTGTTGATTTGTTGATGACCTACAATTGAAAAACCAGGATTCCTTGTTTCTTCCTAGATAGTACTGTATTCCTAGCCTTCTCAGGTGTTCTAATTGGCCTATTTTCCATTGGTGTCTCCTCAGTAGATTGAGCATTGCTGGTAATAGCACACACTGGGGGTAAATCAAATAGTTAAGCTATGAAATGATCATACTTCCTGCAAAAGAGAAAACAGTGTTAGAGAAATGAGTGGTCAGGTTTTTGGTTTTGCTGGGGTGTGATGAGTGGTGATGATGTTGGTGCTTGGTGGGGTTGCTGTGTAGGTAGTGAATGGGGGAGGGAGGTAGAGATTTGCAGGTTTGTTTGTTTGGACTTCTGTTGTAGGATTATGACTGTGTGTGTTTTCTGGTGTGATTTGGAGAGGGGATCTACAGAATGCAGAATGCAAAATGCAGAATCTGTGTAGGTTTTTGGAATTGTGGTTATTTGTGGGGTGTGATATTAGTGATATGGAGCTGTTTATGTGAAGTAAGGGGGCTATGACATGAGTTGAACTAGGGGGTGATCTACGTTTAAGCATGAAGTCGGAGGGGGCAGTTATGATGATAATTGCAATTGGTTAAATAATTGGAGCAACTTCTCTAGATGTGTGTGTGTGTGTGTGTGTCTACCATGATCATGAGAGGATGTTGAAGCCTGTTGAGATGGGGTTTGAAATTTCTTGGTTTGTCCATGTCTGAAAGAAGGGGTGTCAATTTTGTCTAAATGAATTTGACCTCTTATGTGTTCAGGTAGTTCATTTAGACAATGGTAGTGTGTTATGGTGGGGAGGTTGTGACTGATTTTGGATAGTGAATCTGCAGGGAAGTTTGCCTCTCTGTAAACATGGGAACATTTGAACTTTTCACACAACCTTCATAGTTCTTTGAGGTTTTGCAATTCAGTGTCTAGATTCCAAGGAGGAGCGGAGGTGTAGTTAAGCCAATGAATAAGCAATGCAAAATTAGCTTCTAGGTGAATTTTGGTGATGCCATTGGCCAGGCACCACTGCATGCCCAAGACTGCTGCTTGAGTTTCTGCAAGATTATTGGATCCTTCACCAAGAGGACTGGCTATAGCATGTATGAAGTGGCCTTCTGAATCTCTGATGGTGACACCAGCACCAATCTGGTTGTTTAAGGCACTACCATCACTAATGACTTTAACAAAACTAGCTTGAGGTTTCAGCCATGCCATTGAAGTAATGCTAGTGTGATATTACAGGTTTTCAACCATTGAGAGGAGGTCAAACCAACCTAGAGGACATGGGATATCAGGGTAGTAAGCTTTGAGGAGCTGGTTGGTGTCAGAAGTGATGGAGAAAGGAACCCTTGTCATTGATGAGTTTTTGGAGCCATATTTAGCATTGCATCTATTATTCTAAAGATTCTAACTAATAATGATGGGAATGGTGTCTATGAGTAACTTGTGGATTTAATTTTTACCCTTCTGAACCCACCATTTTAGAAGCAGAGGTTGTAGAGGCATAACAGTGAAAGAAAATCCCAAGGGTCCTGAGATGATTTTCCAAATAGCCTTAGCAAAGTGACCCCTACTGAGGATGTGATCAACAGATTTAGCTTGGGGTTTAATGCAACAGACACATCTGTTAACAGTTGAAATTTGAAACTTAGCAATTGTATCATCCATAGGAAGCTTGTTCCTTAGAGCTCTCCAAAGACAGAATGACCATTTGAAGGGGATGTATTTGTGCCATGTCATCTTATTGGTAAAGAGGGTAGGTTCTTCTCTCTTACCATATTCCATGTTGAAGCACAAGTAAAGTTGTCTGATGGTGTTGCTTTCCATATTAGTTTGTCAGGTAGGAGAGGGTTATGGTGGATGTGGACTTGTGAAATGAATTGGATCATATGGGTAGGGGCAGTGGCATTCAATTTCTGGAGATCCCAAGTTCCTGAGCTCCAGAAGTGGAAGACCCTTATGTTGCCAGGTCTGCTGCCTTGTGGTCTATAGCTGGCTAAGTTTCCTGTGCCAAGCCAATTGTACCACCAAAAAATTGAATTTCCTGAGTGAAGTCTCCATTGTATGTGTGTTTCTGCCTGTTTCTTGTTAGCCATCATTCTTTTCCATGTCTGCGATTAGCCTGAGTGCCACTTTTTAGAGATGGGGTGGGATCTCTGACAGTATTTGGCCTTGAGAAAGTTACTCCAAAGAGTATCTTTTGTTATGAAGAGCCACCATTGTTTGAACTCCATGGATTTGCAAACATCCTCAATGGTTCCGAAACCCATTCCCCCTTCATTTTGGGGTTTAGAAAGCTTTTGCCAGGATGCCCAGTAGTATTTGTTTCTATCATTATCCATACCCCAGAAAAAGTTTGCAGCAAGCTTTTCAATTTGTTTGATCACAGTTTTAGGGGGAGAGACTGCTGAGAGGAGATGGATGGGGAGAGATTGAAGAACATGTTTGATCAATATTTTTCTTCCACCGTAAGACAACATTCTACCATGCCATCCTCTTATTCTGCTAACTACTTTGGATATGAGGGAATTGAAATGGACAATTCTCTTCCTAACAATGTAGAGGGGACAACCAAGGTAAGTAATTGGGGAGTCTTTTCTGGAGAAGCCAGTGATTTTTTGGATTCTCCTGTTAGTGTATTGGAATACACAGGGTGAGGTCATGAAGTGACTTTTGTTCTTATTGATCAGTTGGCCAGAAGTGTCTTCATAGGATTGGAGGATATCCATGACTTTCTGAAGAGAAACTTTGCTGCCAGAGGTGAAGATTATAATGTCATCAGCAAAGCTCAAATTGGTGATTTGAGGACCTCTCCTTTCCATGTAAAAGTCAATGAAACGTTGGTCATGAGTGAGGTTATTCAACATCCTAGAGAGAAGTTCTACACCCAGAATAAAGAGTGCAGGGGCCAAAGGGTCTCCTTGCTTGAGGCCTCTGGTAGAGTGGAAGAAACTACATCCGGTGCCATTCACAATTACTATGTACCAATTGTTTGAGAGAGTTATCCACACTATGTCAATGATCATTTCACTAAAGCCTAATCTCCTCATCATGATGCAGGTAAAGGACTAGGATACTCTGTCATATGCTTTAGCCATATCAAGTTTGATCACCACATTGCCTCTAATGTTTGGTTTCTTGATTCCCTGAACAATCTCTTGGGCAGGCATAATATTTTCAGAGATGCTTCTTCCCTTAACAAACCCAGTCTAATTTGGAGAGATGATTCTGGGCAATATTGGTACAAGTCTTGAGTTGATAACTTTTGGGATAATTTTGTTGATGAAGTTGCTTAAACTAAATGGCCTAAATTTTGAGAAGGAGTTAGGGAATTCTACTTTGGGAAGGAGTACAATGCATGCTTGGGTCATATGTCTGGGCATAGTGGCACCACAAAAGAAGGCATTGACCACATTAAAAGGGTCAGTTTTAATGATGTCCCAACAATGTTGGAAAAATATTCCATTAAGTCCATCAGGAGTAGCTGCACTTGTTGGATTCATTGAGAAAACTACATCTTTGATTTCCTGTATAGTGGGATCTTAGGTGAGAATATCATTATCTTCAGGGGTTACCAGAGTAGGAATGCAAGAGAGTAGATCTTCCCTAATGGCACTACCAGGATCAGTGAATAAGTTCTGAAAGTGATCACAAGCAGCCTCCCCAATGGCTTCATCACCTTGTACCCATTCATCTTCACTCATTTTGATCTTATGAATGTACAACTTTTTTCTCCTACCTATGATTAAGTTATGAAAGTATCTGGAGTTTGCATCACCTTTTTTGAATCATTGAAGTTGTGCTTTCTGTTTCAAGAGTGACTCATCAATCTTCATGTGTCTGATGTACTAGGCATTGAGTTCATGTAGCCTTATTCTGTCAGAATCCAAGTTGGTCTGTGCCCAGGTCTCTTCAGTTGTTCTTACTTTGTCCTGAAATTCTTTGACCTTTTGGAAAATATCACCATATTCCTATCTTGACCATTTACTCAAGGCAGAGCTTAGGTTTTTAGTCTTCTGGTAAAATATCCACATGTCATTTCCTTGCACTGGCTTGTTCCAAATGTCTTGGACCAAGGGAAGGAAGGTTTCATTGTTGATCCAGCAGTTTAGGAATTTGAAGTATCCTTTTTGGTTGTCTGGTCTTACATTCATGTCCATTAGGAGGGGAGAATGGTCAGAGCCAGAAGAGGCAAGATGAGTGATGGTTGTTGCAGGGAAAGAAGCTAGCCAGTTGTTATTCACAAGACCTTTGTCTAATCTCTTCCAAACAATGGCACAGGGGCCCCTTCCATCAGACTAAGTGTACCTTGGACCATAGAATCCCATATCAGTGAAGCCACAGTCTTCAATTATGTTAAGGAACTCAATAGTCTTATTGATTTGGTATGGAATTCCCTTAATCGTTTCTTCAATGGATTATATAACATTAAAATCTCCAATTGCACACCAGGGGACATCTGTAGTAGTAGATTTTAGCCTTAAACTATCCCAAAATGGTCTTCTCNTCCATTGTGACATGCTCTTCATTTGATTCAAGAACAGTCCCAGTGAATTCTTGATCCCAAAACATCCAAAATTTGTTGTTACAGTTTGAGATGGCATGATGCATGGAGAGTTGGATTTTGAAATGATTGAGGAGTGTGTCATCCAAGAGAGCTATATTTTGAAGGAGAGGTTCCAGGACCGCAATGAGGGAGATATTGTGGAGTTTTCTGAGGATTCTTAGTCTCTCAATGGCTCCATAGGTCCTAATGCCTCTAACATTCCAAGTGAGTATACTAATAATTTAAAAGAGGGAGGGTAGTTTGTGGTTTGGTGGTACACTGCTGCTTGAGGCAGCTTTGCTCCTTATAAGACTTGGTGAAGGTCTCATTTTGGATCTTTGGGAGATTCTGTGTTCTTCCTGATTTGGTATTCCATTTACTGCAGCAATTAAGAGGTCACAATGTTGCTCCTCTTCTAATGCTTCACTTCCTTCATCTTCAAATTCTCGTCTCATCTCATCCTCAGAGAGAATAGGTCTATATTCATCTTTTTGTGGGGAATATTTGTTGAGAGGATATATGCGGCCAAACAGTATAGATTGGTGTCGATTTTATAATGTTTTGAAAAATATCGACGACCTGGATGATTATACGCTGTGTGAGAAGTTTGAAAACCTGACGATTGATAGAGGGACTTCTTCTGATAGAGATAATGGTAATACCGTATCTTCCTCGGGTAATTCTGAGGGAGGCTCAAACAGTACGCCTCTCTTTTCTCGTTCTTTGAACATATTTCCTCCTTGGTGGGAGGGTCGAGGTGCTTATAAACCTCTCTTCACTTTCTTCAAGGACAAGTTCAAAGGGGTGCAATTGATGTTGTTGACTTTGGACCTGGGTAGGTGTGTGTTGAGGTTGTGGGACATCTGTTTGGTTAATCTAAGTGTTAGGGGAAACTGTGAGGATATCTAGCTCACTTCTACTATCAGTGTCAACTTCTTTGTTGGAAAGAAGGGGTTGAGAGAGAGAGGGGTTGAAGAAAAGTTTTGCACTCATGGATCCAGAATTACCTGAGGCAAGGACAAAGCTCCATTTGGTTTATGCAATTGGTCTTTAGAATAGGGTGGTAGAGTTAGAACACATATCTGTTTTTGATGGTTCATTTATACTGATACATGCACTCTGTTTCCTCATGGTTTTTCTCTTTTTCTGGCTAGGTTTATTTTTGGATTTTGGGGTTTGAATTTGGAAGTCTGAGGAAGCATGGCTTTTTTCATTGATAAATGATCTCATTTGGGCAGCATGATCCTCTTCTGAGTTGATAATCTCAAGGATCTCCTCATGATCCTCAATCTGAACTGAGTATTGATTTTTCTGATTGACAGGAGTGGTAATAGTGGTAGCAGAGGTTAGAAGGTCCATCCTAGGGTCAACCAATTGTGCAGGAGCACACTCATGTAGAACATGAGGAAACCCTTCCCCCTTATTTGGATCCCCATCTTGTAATTCATGAGGTTTCTCCAGACCATTCAACTTTACTCCATCAACTTCATTATTCACAACACATAACTGGGGGTAGGGGTGTTGGGATACAGAATTCTGAGAGCCAAAATTAGCAAGTAAAGCAACAGGAGCTATTTCCTCAGAGGTAGAAGGCATATCTGTATGTGAATTGTTCACAGTAGCTTGCTGTGTGTTTGCTTCCTTTTTGGCTATGCACTGCTTTGCTTTG